CAGTGTTTCTGCCGTCGGTTGGGGTGTGACGGACATGATGTTGCTGAAACATAATTTTGGGTTTAGAGTTTACTCTACGGAAAACAAAAATCAGATAGATTATTCATAAAGTAGATGACTCAAAAAGTATCCCTTGAAACGGCGACAACAATTTGGAAACATATAGAGTATTCACAAGGGTAGGCTTCTAATCCCACCTTTTGAATACTCTCATATGTGAATGTGCATTACATGATTGTATGTTTATGAAAAAAAATCATATTATATATATATATATATATATATATATATATATATATATATACACACACACACACACGCATGTATACCCGAACAACAAAGAGATAATGACAACTGAATATGTCTTAAACAAACAATCATGTAATACATGTTCACATCGTAGATGAGATAAAGTACTCAAAAAAAGTCACAAAACGGGGACAACCTGAAATTAATTGCTAAATCAATTTCAGGCAGCTATTTCTAGGCTCGTGATAATTACAAAGAAGACAAGCAAACGAATAGAATTTGGAAGATTTTTTTATTATTATTTATAACATCTTACTTTTGTATATTTTTCTTATTTATGGTATTTGATTTTGTTTAAAGTTTTCTATAACAACATTGTACTTTAAATATTACCTTTTTTTCTATTTGAGCACTGTACTTTTTTTTATATTTTTTATATTTATAACATTTTATATTTGTTTTTTTCAATTATAACATTTCATTTTAGATAATTATATTATGTTGTTGTTTTCTACTGTAGTGCTTTACTTTATGTTTTCATTGCTAACAATAGCATCCTACTTTTTTCTTAACAATCCACATTGTTTTTTTAACAAAAAATAGCATTCTCAATAATAGCATCCTACTTTATTTTTTTTCAATTATAGCATCCTACAATAATAATCCAACATTATTTGTTTTTTTCTTTTATAATCCACATTATTTTTTTTTATAAAAAATAGTATTCTTGTAACACCCTGTTCCGAATCGTTCCAAATGCGGGATCGTGACCCGAGGATCAGATGTCACAAGGCTTAGAGCCTTTGGGAAAGAGAGACTTAGACCCATTTGGGTGTGGGTAATGTAAATTAGATTATACGGGAGTCCGATTTCTTATTTGAAGCCCAAGGGTATAACTGTAAATTGGCATTTTCGGACATTTTATGAATATTCGATTTTAGTTCGGGAAGTTTTAAGGCAATGATGAGTTGATAGAAGTCTAGAGCTTCTCGTTACCTTTCCGTGGATATAAGGATTGTCGAAAATGGACTTAGAACGAAGAGGTTATGGCCTTCAGAAGTTTGGCAGTTTTAGGGTTGAACCTAGTACGTGGGGCGTACATGGGCGTACATGGGCGTACGCTGGGCGTACTAGGCAGGGAATACGCGGGTGTTCCTTAGAGTATGCTGGGCATACCATAGTTACGCATGACGTACTCCAGTCAGACCAAAACCCTAATTTAGGGTCTTGGACCTTATTTAAGCTCCGTAACTCAACACCAAACCCTATTATCTTCAGCCACCATCCCTTTAAACCATAGAAACGAAATCCTAGCCTACATTAGTGTGGTCAAAGGAGTAAAGTTGCCGACTTTACATCTTAAGACATCTCCTTAGGGCGTACATTGGAGTACGCTTAGCATAATGTGTGGTTTCCGCATCAGTGTCTTGTGCCTTGTGCTTCGGGGGTGTGTACGCGAGGCGTATCCTTTTGGTATGCGGGGCGTACTCCCAGTATGCCAATTTGGGCCTTTTAAGGTTTGGGCCTTGTTGGGCCATTGGACTTATATGACTTTGGGCCATGGATAAACTAAGGGCTTTATTGGAATTAGATCCATGATGGTTTTTGGGCCCAGTAAGGAAGATGAGCCACATTGGGCCTTGGGATGCCATTTAGGGATTTGGGCTTTTTGAGCAAATGGATTGGGCCTTCGTTTTGGGCCAAGTAAGAAAAGAGTAAAATGGTCTTTTACCCTTTTAGGAAGTTGGATTATGGAGTGGGCCTCAGATTTTGGGTTATCGGGACAATTATTAATTAAGATTGTATTTATTGTTAGTTGGTGCGAGGTTATCGGGTTCAGCGACACGAGCAGTTATTTGATTATCAACGGATTGAGCTGAGCCTCCTCACTATACTCGTGGGTCGAAGGCACCAATGCCGACCCACTAGGATATGTTATGCTAGATGTCTTTGTGACTCTTGCATGGTATGTTGGGCTAGGCTCATCGTATGATCGGGCTAGGCCCATTTGTATGTTGGGCTAGGCCCATTTGTATGTTGGGCTAGGCCCATTTTTATGTTGGGCTAGGCCCATTGTATGTTATACAGGGCGCTAAACGTCCTTGTGACTTTTGCATTTTTATGATCAGGCTAGGCCTATTGGTTTTGCACGGCTAGGCCCATTTCGATTTGAAAGGGAATGGCCCGACATGATCGCAACGCATCCACCCATGTTTTTGCATTGTGATGATTTTGGGATTGTACTATGATGACTGTTTTATTATGAAATACTTTTGAATGTTTGAATAAAAGATAATTAGTGTTTTGATTGAATTAAAAATGAAATTTTTATCTCAAAATTTTTAGGATGCTACAATTCTCAATAATAGCATCCTACTTTATTTGTTTTTTTCACTAATAACATCCTACTTTATTTATTTATTTTTAACAATCCATATTGTTTCATTTTATACAAAAAATACCATTCTCAATAATAGCATCCTACTTTGTTTGTTTTTTTTTTCAACAATAACATTCTACAATAATAACATTCTCAATAATAGCATTTTCAATACTAACATCCTACAAAAAATGCACATTGCATATAAATTCAAATATACATACATAATGTCATGTTTTCTTTCATACAAATACACATTATTCACACATACAATCCATATTACATTTAAATACACATACACTTTAAATATCATTATCAATAATATCATCCTAGTTTATTTGTTCTTTTTCCACTATATCATTGTAATATACACATTACATACAATCCACATTTCATACATACACTATACACATATACAATATTCCATATTCATGTTTTCATACATAAAAATAAACAGTATACATACATTCACATACATATACTATGCAAATACACATAGATATATACCACATATAATGACATGTGGCTAATTTCATATAATAGACACGAATACTTATTTTTTGCATATAAGCTGGAAATTAATGGAGAAAGGAACCTATGGTGGCTGGAAATCAACATTGGTGGTCGGAAAATTAACAACATTCGTCGGTGATAGAAAAAGACGATAGTGAAGCTCCAAAAACTAAAAATCATCATTTTTCAGCAATTAATCTCGAATATAAGTTGGAAATTGAGGTTATAAGAAAAAGAGATAGAGAAATGATGAAGAGGATACAAACCGTCGCCGGTGAAGCTCTAATGTCGTTGGTACAACCAACTCTCGTCACCGGAATCCGGTGGTAACAAGTGGTTGAGGTGGCCGACCGGTGGTTTAAGGCAAAGGAAGAAAGAAACGAAATTCGTTCGTCGATCGCCGACGGTTGAAGCTCGAGGAAACGAATCGAGGAAGGAGCAATAAGCAGGAAAGAAACTGAGACGAGAAAAGGGGTATAATTGGGTCGACCTTTACTGGAGACTCGAAATTATTACCGGTGACAATCACGAATAGCGGCGACAACAATGGAGGGAATTTATGCGGTCTCTTTTTTCCGGCCATTAGCTGCGACGTTTTTGACATTTAGCAACGACATTTTGTCGTTGGTATTGAGTTTGTGTGAAAAGGAGCCACAACCATTGATTAGATAGTCGATCGGACGGTTGGGGTTTAACCGAATCGATTAACGTGGATTAGGTCTGCAAGGCATTAACGACGACGTTATTAGCGGCGACAAGGACTTTTAGCAGCGGCTGAAGCTTGAGTCGTCGCTGAAAGTCCTTGTCGCCGTTAATAGCGTCGCCGAAATGGACATCATTTCTTGTAGTGGTTATTCTATTATATATGCCCTCTCATTTTAATATCACACATCTTAAATCAAATCAATTACTTATTTTCATCCAATGGTCCAAAATCCTTTTTACAACCACATGATAGTATATATATACATATATATATATATATATATATATATATATATATATATATATATATATATATATATATATATAGGCGTGTGTAAAAACCTCTTATAATTAGAGCATCCACAATGATGAGTTTAATGAAAGTTGAATGAGGTGCAAGTTTATTTTTTATTCAATGGATTAAACTCTATCATAGTCACCTTGATATTCAATGAAATTGGAATTCAATGGTCATAGAACTCTTCAATGGGAAAAATGAAATTTTTCATTCTTAAATATATACTATAAATTAACTTTTGTAATTTTAGATTGAAATTTATAGAGTTCAATGCATTATATAAGAGAATTGATAGAGTTATATAAAATGTAAAAAAATGACGTGTCAATCTATTAAACTTTATGAAATTCAATGCATTGTGAATGTCTTATTTTATTATTGTCATTTATTCTTTATGTCGCGAGGACATTTTCATTTTTTACAACCTAATATTTGTTCAAACCAAAGTTGTTTCCTTCAAACATTAAAATTGGTTTTTGTGTCTTTTCTGCAAACTTTGTAGTATCACTATATTAATTAATTTTTAAGATTTGATTATAGTCATTTGAAAAATGTTTAACATGATATTAATCAGTTTTGATTATTTAGTAAACTATATGTTATTTAGATACAAAAGTTATTTAAAGGTATTTAAAAAAGTTATAATCCATTTACCATGTTAAAGGGTTAATATTGAAATTCTAAAGAGACGACATTGTATTATTCCATAATATTTAGTTTTGGTGTGGGGGTCACAGTCCCATTTCTGCATCGTTGCAAAAACATCAATTTTGTTGTTGGAAGTCAGAACGCCAATTTCACAAATTGTTGTAAATATGTATATATGATAATAAAATTACATTTTCTTTTTCCCTCAGCCACTTTCGTTAAGAGGGAATTAAAATTTCCAAAATAAATACATCAATTAAGAACTAAAATGAGAGTATGTTAAAGGTTTAAACACATGAGGCGCCATATGATCAATCAAGTTGAAGTCCTTTTCTTTTAGATGCATGTAAACCACCCAATCGCCGTTCTTTTTTGCACTTGGCATTGTTGTTATGTATCCTGTTCGGCTACCCCATGGGAAATGATACGAACCAAAATCTGGCTTTCCCCACCCAAAATCCATATCTTTGATTGGTAAAGCTTGTCCAGCCGACACAACGACAGCCTCACCTTCAGACTTTTTTAGCCCAAAATATATCCTTGCAACTGCTGGATTTGGTCGATGCATCTCTACCCAATCAATCAATTCTCTAAAATGTTCTTCGTTGGTTGCCTTAGAGACAAACTTATGAACCCCTGCTGCCACTTCATGAAGGGGCATCGCCTTGAGATCATCATTGGTGGCCATACCATATGGTATGGATAGTACATTTCCGAAGTGGTTTTCTAACAAAGATGTATTTTTCTCATCACTTTCAGCCAGAAAGCGACGCCCATTAACGACAATGCCCATTCTAGAAGTTGTATCGATAGCTTTATCTCCTCCATGTGCTAATAATTTCCACACAAATGACGTGAAAGAAAGGAGTTTGCTTATTTTGGTTTCCTTCGTGCTCGCTTCTTGTTGAAGTTGTTGAATTGATTTAGCATGAATATAGTACATGCGACCAAGAAGAGGCTCTTCAAAGGAGGATGGTGGAGGGAGGGATGATGCGGGGATGTATATATTATCAATGGAGGTGGTATAACAGGGTGGACGACGTGGATTCAACACTGAAGGTCGAAATGATGGGATGCTGGAGATTGTTTCCAATCGCGCATACTGAGCCCATGCAACTAAGAACATATTTATTGAGTAAGCATCGGCCACTTGATGATGAAACGCACCTGATATTATTATTGATCCACAATTCAACTCTGTCACCTGAATCAATGAAAATGAAGCTAGTTATTGTTTCCCTTGTATTCATGCCAATTTTTGTTTGAATATATTTTTGGATGCATGTTCAGATAGTATTAATATGCGATGATTTGTGTAAAGTTATGATATCTTAATTATTGTTATAGTATGACATTTTTCTCATGAGGATGCGTTCTGGGTGCAGATATATAGAAAATATGTAAATATAAGGACTTCCATTCGATTGTCCTTTTGGAAAACATATTTTCAAAAATGGAAATTTATGATTTATAATTTCCAAAATACATATTCTAAGATTCTGTTTGGAGTTGGGGCACTAAACTATGATTTTAAAATATTGTTTCTTAGTAGAGACGTAAAGGAATTCGTTTTGAAAATAATGATACTTAAAATTGAAATTAATTAAAGTCTTAATCGTTTTCATACATATAATCATTATAATAATAAGAACACGTTTTATATAAATAGTACATATCGTATTCAGTATTTCTTAAAATTGTTTTGACGTCCATTCGTAAAAAAAATAGTGACCACCGACAATGCTCAACTCAGTAAAAAATGTATTTTTTTAATATAACCTTCAAAATTTTAATTCCAAAAATATTTATAAAAAAACAATATCTATGTAGAAGAGTTTTCCCTTCAATATATATAACACTATAATGGTATAGGATATAATTGGTAAATTTTTTGGGAATTAAACATTAAAAATGAGTTGGTCAAATTCGAATGCAATAGCCTCAACTTTTAGATAGTCTGTCCTTCGAAAACAATTAATTTATTATATATTCGAGAGTAGATCCGGCTTTTAGTTGTCCAAGTCAACGTGTGTATGCTTTACCAAACTTAGTAAATTAACTGCCAAAAAACAGTTTCGCATGTTCCTTCACGCTGTATATTCCTTAATAAGTCGAAACATAAATGTTTGGAACCGAATGAATTATGTTATGTTGTGATCACCCTAACTAATTTCATATCGTTAAATCCCAAGGAGGCCTGAAAGATAGTTAAATTTACCTGAATTGCAACCACACCACGATTTATCTTGGGGACCAACTTCCCCTTCACAGACTCATCAGGGTGAGCGAAATCCAAGTCTTTCAGGTCGATGTCTGCATGGGCATGAACGAATTCCACCCCATAGTTGTTGCATAGAACCTCTGGCTCTCCTTGGCTGTTCTGCACAATCTCTCCGGCCAGAGGGTAAAATGTCGATAGTACCCCAGCCAGCGAAGACTTAATGGTCTTCACCACAGTTTCCGAGGACATGTCAGTGTTGTTCTTTTTCTTGTAACAGAAAAAAAGCCCGGCTTCAATCGGTGGTAGAAGCAAGTCAAGGTTCGACAAAGGGAGCCAGTGTTTGCTTTCCAGCGTGACAGCTGCTGAAATAACCTCTCTATCTTTCACGGTCACTTGATAGTCTTGGAGGTAGGCATCCTCATGATAGCGTAGTTCTGACGTGTGGAGCTTAGAGAATTGAGTATGGTAATGGTTAGCAGTGAGATTTGAGTGCGTTGCATGTAAAAGATGGCGGGAAACCATAGCATTTTGACTGTATGTGTTTCTGTATAGATGAGAATAGGATGAGGGAGGCGATGGTGTTGGTGGTGATGGTGATGGTGTTTTAGGGTGGCAGCGGAAGTCGTGAGATTCAATGGGACTAGTTTGGTGAACCCACTTGCTATTTGAGATAAGGAGACCTTTAGATCTCCTGAGGTTAAGGAGGTGATAATATTTTCTCATATTCATGACAGAAGAGAAGAGTTGGATGTTAGTATTTTTGACAATGAGGAATGGCAACAATCCATGGTTTATTTATAGGGAATGGAGACTTGTTACTAGCCTTTTGGCGACAATTTAAAATTTTGCATGGGGAAACGGTCCAACCTGGTGAGGTATATTCATGATTTATGTGAACACACATATACCTTTATTTTAATGGATCATGTGTATCATCCTTACCCACTTGGTCCAAAAGATTAACTATAAAAATAACTTATAGTCAAAATACCCTTATGTGCCCACAATAAAAATGTAACAATGAACTTGGCACATAATTTGATAAATAGTTGATATATTAAGAGGTAGATGTTACTTCCTGTTACTAGGCAATTTTTTCTTGTGAAAGGACCCACTTCCAAACTGGCCGTTAATAATTTTTTTTCCTCTTTTATCACGGATTGTTTTAGGTTGGTACGTTTTAATTATGAAGATACGACGAAGACCATAACTAGATTGATTATTAATTATTATTAACCGATAATAACTTAAAATGATAAAATATTTTTTTATTTGTACACTTCTGGTCACTCGATTTTTTTTAATTCACATTTGCTTTTCAACTCGTTTAACCGTATACATTCAGTCTTTATATCGATTACTCCAGATAAACCGAAAAAAAAAACACTTAATAGGGTAAAGTATTTTTCACTTTTTGCACATTTAGTCCTTGATACTTTTTTGCACATTTAGTCCTTAATATTTTTTTGTTGGAAAATAAGTTCTTGTTGGTTTTGTACACATTCAATGACTTATTTTGCAACCATAAAATATTAAGAACTAAATGTGCAAAAAAAAATTATGGACTAAATATGTATAAAGTGAAAAATATATTACCTTATTAAGTCATTTCTTTCGGTTAACCTGAAGTAGTTGGTTATAAGGACTGAATGTGTACAATTAGACAAGTTGGAAGGGCAAATGTGGACGAAAAAAACTCAGTGAGCAAATATGCATAATAGGGTATAGCATAAAGAGGATATGTATACCTCCAAACATACTGAACCAGCAAACGTACCGAACCAGCAAATATACCGAACCAATATATATACCGAACATGTATATAATACCGAACCAATACATATACCGAACTGGTTTATATATACCAAACCCACATAAGTACCATGAAGAAAGCAAACCAACGATTGAAGTACAATATGACGTCGCAACAATATCAATAGTACATGGGAACTCTAAACATACAGCCTGTATATGGAAGTATGATTGATGGGTTCTCAAACCAACTAAGAACACCTGGCCTTCAATATACAAGTATAACAACATGTACCTTCGGGTATACGGTCATAAATGCGACAAGACGATCATACAGTTCGGGGTAAGAGAAGGTCGATACTTTCTTACCTTCAACGATAAATAGGTAATCAAGCACAATCCGATGAGGTACGCATACAACACCATTTACATACTCTAAACCAATTCGATAACTATCGTTACAATTATCTATCGAAGTCTTTACTGACTTTATCATCTGACCGTTGGCTCGGGATACGATCCCGGTCAATTGATACACTTGAGTGACTTTCACAAAGTTGGCTCACGCCACAGAAGATTGTGAAAGTCTCAAAAGAGAGAAGGAGAAAAATCAATCATTAAAAATAGGAGAACGAAGCGGGAAAAAATGGGAGGCACCGACGAATGACATCGAAATTGTCATGATACAAGGTGGAGGGGGAAGAGAGATTAAACCAATGAAGAAACAGAAGATAACCAGTATTGAAGTTAATCACCACGACCCGATACCCTTTGACCATCAGGGAACCGAACCCCTAATAATCAAAGTAGCAATAGGAAGAACGTTGAACCTAAAAATATTCAGAAATATCTCAGACCAACAACATCGAAAGTAGTGGGATTTGTTGTTCAATCCGTATGGCCCGAACGGAAGATCTCGCTACCTTTTACGCTAGAAAACTACAGTGGGAACATCTGTAAAACTATCTTAATGGAGTTTATCGTCATAAAGGCGCCGTCTCCTTACAACATGTTGTTAGGAAGAACTGGACTGTGGAAATTACAAGCGGTCCCATCCACAGTCCACGGCCTGTCGAAGTTCCCTATAGAAGAAGGAGATGCAATAGTCCAAAGCCTAACATCTGATACCCCGAGCGTAGTCATGTTGTGCAACCTGACCCGGTGGAACCAATGAATGAAGAAAGGAGTGCTTCAGTGAACAACGAGGAGGTGATTGTCAATGAAAAATACAAAGATTAGAAGGTCCAAAATAGGTACTGAACTACCTGAAGCCCTGCGGAAAGGTTTGATTGATATCCTGAAGAAATACGCAGATGCATTTGCATGGAAGACTTCAGACATGACAGTGATACCTAGATTACTGATAAAGCATCGTTTAAACATCAACACTTCATACATTCCCATCAAGCAGAACAAACGCATCATGGCTAAAGAAAGGAACGAAGTCATCAATAAAGAGGTCAAAGCTCTAGTGGAAGCTGGAGTTATGAGAGCTACACAGTTCCCAAAGTGGATTGCCAACCCTGTGTTAGTAAAGAAGGTGGATGACACAATGCGGAAGTTCGTCGATTTCACTGATCTTAACAAAGCATGCCCAAAGGATAGCTTCCCCTACCAGAGATCGAGCAGAAAATTGACTCGCTGGGAGGGTTCAAATGGAAACCCTTCTTAGATGCATACAAAGGCTACAACCAGGTAAAAATGGCTATGGCTGATGAAGACAAAACATAAAATTTTTATTATACAAAAATGCCTTTCAGAGTGCGGAATGCAGGAGCAACATACCAGAGGTTAGTGGATAAGGTGTTTAAACAACAAATAGGGATGAATGCCGAGGTATACGTAGACAACATGGTGATCAAAAGCAGAGATAACAATAGCTTTCTGGCAGATGTGGAGGAAACCCAGAAGCGACTGCGACAAACTAACATGAAACTCAACCCAAAAAAGTGTGTATTTGGAGCTTAAAAGGGCAAGTTCTTGGGTCATGTCGTAACCGAATTACGGATAGAGGCAATCCCAGAGAAGGTTGAAAGCCTCCTAAAGATGGAAACACCTCGAACGGTAAAAGATGTACAAAGCCTAAACGGCAAACTAGCGATGCTGGGGCATTTCCTAGCTAAATCGGCAGAATAGACATTTCTTTTCTTCCAAACATTAAAGGCGCACACTGGAAAGAAAAATATTATATGGAAGAACGAGGATGAAGAAGCCTTTTGAAGGTTAAAATAATGCCTCCAACGTCTGCCAACCCTGGTAAGTCCCATGGTGGGAGAAACACTAACAGTATACGTATCGACAAGTCAAAAAGTGATCAGTGCAGTATTGGTGGCAGAAAGAGATAAAAAACAAAGGTCGGTATACTTCATTAGCAGCGTATTGCAAGGAGTCGAAAGGAATTACTCGATAGTAGAAAAACTAATTTTATCCCTAGTATACGCAACACGAAGGTTGCGGAGATATTTTCAAGTGCATGCCATCTTGAGCAATTGAATTAGGAGAGCACGACATAACGTATAAGCCTAGGATCAGCATTAAAGGTCAAGCTCTAGAAGATTTCTTAACAGAAATGCCAGAAGGTCCTAAACACATAACAATACCCCCCAACGGTAATGTTATTCATTCACCTGTACAGACTCAATTCAACAGGGACGAATGGGCACTTTACACCGACGAAGCATTAAGTAGAGATGGTTCGGGAGCAGGCATCATCCTTACTAGCCGAAAAGGAGATAAATCAACGTACACACTAAGATTTCAGTTCAAATGCTGGAATAATGAAGTGGAGTATGAAGCCTTACTTGTGGAGTTGAGATTGGCAAGAAGCATAAACATCTCGAGCTTAAAAGTGTTTAGTGAATCAATTCTAGTGGTTAATCAAATTAAAGGCGAGTATGAAGCAAATGAAGCATACATCCAGAAGTGTTTGGCTCAATCACAGGCGTGGATAAAAAAGTTTCGAAAATTTGAAATTACACAAATCCTAAGGTCAAAAAACAAAGAAGCAGACGCCTTGAGCAAGTTAGCTTTGGTAGTATTCAACCACCTGTTGAAAAATGTTCTAGTTGAAGTATTGCCAAAAAAGAGCATTGACGAATCGGATATGTAAGTGATGACGTTAACGGAAGAAGAAGAGTCATGGATGACATCGTACATCCTTTTCCTAAAGAAAGGAATATTACCAGTGGAGGAAAAGGATACCCGTAAAATACGAATAAACACCCCAAATTATACTATGTATGAGGATCGACTATATCGGAAAGGTTACTCCACCCCATGGCTAAAATGTATCATAAATAAAGAAGCAAAGGGTGTCATAAGTGACATACATTCGGGCATCTGTGGGGCACATGAAGGGTCAAGGGAAATTACTCAAAAGATCCTCCGAAGAGGGTACTTTTGGCCCTCCATGACCCAGGATACGAACACGTTCATAACAAAATGTCATGACTGCCAAATACACTTGAATGTACCTACGCTACCACCAACATATATGACAAGAAGCTAGTTAGAAATCCTAAAAGCACAAAGCAAGCAACATTCGAGCATCAAGTATCAGAACAAAGCATAACCTAATCAGGCCATCCTACCACTGACTGATCAGTACTGGCATGCAAGTCTACGAGCTCATACAGCAAGCATACAAAGGCATCTCTCCTACCATTGTATCATGCAAAAACTGAGCAGATCCTTAGTCCTAACTAGCATGCAGTTCAAAGATTAACAGATTAAAACATATATAGGTCATTTGGGAAAACTTACTTGAGCTCGGTCGATTGCATGCACCACACCCGTTATCTCTTTTTAGAAATCCTTTTTATAAAACATTTTTCTTTTGAAAAATCCTACCAAATCCTCAGTTTGAGTTTAGACACACCCGAGAGTGTGTCTGAATCCCTCAAACCAAGGCTCTGATACCAACTTATAGCATCCCAAAATATGGTCCTAAAAATTTCATTTTTAAAATAGCTAAAATAGTATTTCCAAATATCATCCATACATCTCAAACAAAAC